TTTTTTTTTCTATTTGAAAATAATTCGTCTATTTTCTTTGTTTTATGAAATAGTCATATGTTAGTCAAGTATTATCATATACAGCGAACGAAATGAAAAAGAATGAAAGAAAAAAAAAATCTATTTATTTCTTTTATATAGAATAGTAAGATTATACGTGTGTTCTATGAAATAGAGATATTAAGAAAACAAACAAACTAGGCGAATTACAATTGTATTAACCAACATAATTGTTGTTTCTACATAGCAACGCGAATCTTATTACTTATTTCAGTTTTAATTCGTCCAGTCTGTTTGATTCTAATCGAGGGTATTTAACTAGAAATTAAAGAAAAAAAAAGAGAGAAGAATATAGATATATAAATAGTGCATCAAACTGTTATTTGAACGAAAAGAAAATTCCATCGATTTCTTTTCCGTCTATCGTTTATTTATTGTTAATGTTGTGATATGGTATAATCGTTGAAAAGGAAATATTAAATTTTTAATAATAATGAAATGAGAAAAACATTAAGATATAAATGATGAACAAGAAGAACAAACAATTAAATAATTGGTAATTTTGATAGATCTATGTATGTATGGATACATATCTTGAAGATCATGAACTTTGAAGAAAATATATTCCACAAGGTTTAAATATAACATAAAAATAAAAACAAAGAATTATTTCTTTTTATAATATTTTATTTATTTATTTAGATAAATCCAATTTGTTTCGTAAAGTATTAGAAGATATAAATGGATGGGTAAAAAAAAGATATATTTTTTTTTTACATAATTTTTTTTTTCTATTGTTTTTTAGTTATTTTCTATTCAAGTTCGTCATTATGATGTTTAATTAAAATGTATTCAACATTTGGAATTAAATATAAATGAATATAGCCCAGTAAAATATTTTCTTTTTATTTAATTGTTTTTAAATATAATTTCTTTTGTTCTGTTTTTATTTTGAAAGTTAATTACAATGTACTTATCAAAATATTTAACTTATTTTAAAAGTTCAACTGTAAATTGATTAAATTATTTAATTCTTATTAAAAAGTTTAATTTTAATAGACAAGAGATAGAATGCTTGAAGTTGAAGTACTTATACAATGTTATAGGTATAAAAAAAAGAAAATATTTATTAAAAAAAAGTCAAATATATATTTTATTGATTTAGTGTTTGGATTTTTGTTTATTTTGATAAAGATCGTGATCCTATTGAATATTAATATAATTCAAAAAATATTTATATTTTTATTAATTGATTATCAATTTGATCGTGTTATTAGAAAAAAAAGAACATTATTATTGACTGTTAGACATTGTATAAAGTAAAATTATTTTATTTAAAATATATTTGAAAAATTTCAATTAATTTTCTATCTAAACAATTAGAAATTTCATAAAACTTGTATATTCCTTTTTTTAGGTTATATTTACAAATTTCTCTATAATGAAATATTTAATCAATCGAAACCAGTTGAACAATTAGAAATAATGTTAAGAATAACAGATAAATTTCATTATAAAGTTATTCGAACTAGCAGGTAAAAATATAATAAAATTTTTCTTGTTCTTGTTCTTATTTTTATTTAAAATAAATTAATTTTATCATTTTAGAAATTGAGAACAATTAGAAGAAAAAAAGTAATGATAAATTAATACTTGTATCAAGTCGTATCGTTAAACGTTGTGGGCTCGTTATTTAGAGAAATGTTACATATGATAATTATATGAATAATCATTAAACAAATATTTTGATAAGAATATTACTAAACAATATCAATATATACTATTAATCATACATAACAATAAATTGAACGATTAGATAAATGAAAACAAAAAAAAATTAAAATGTTCTATTTTTTTTTTACTTTTTATTTTAGATGTTAAAAATATTTTCTAGATTTTTTTATCGCCTTTTAGATTTATCAACATATGAATCATCGTCAAGTAGTTAGTGAAGAAGAAGAGGAAGAAGAACTCAATGAAGAAGAAGAATGTAATATATTATCAAATTTTTGGCCGAATGTGAATGAAGCAAAATTGGACGTAAGATAAATTTGAAAAATATTTTTTTATTTTTTATTGTATTCATTAAGAATAATGCATTGGATGAAATATTAGAAGAATTACATCTTATAGGAGATAAAGCAATTCGTAATTTAAGATCAGCAGAATTTGCCCAGGAGTTTGCAAATGTAGAAAATTTTAAAAAGAAAATAACAAGGATACAACTTTATCGGGACGTGACAATAGGCCACATGATTAAAAATTTGCCGCCAGATCAATTAAATAAATTAAATAATGGCGCTGAACGTTCTCGTTACCGTAAAAGAAATATTCAGGTGAATAGTAATAAAAAAATGATAAAATAATTCGACATTTTATTTGAAATATTATTATTAAGCTGTTGCTTTTTTTTTCAATAGATAGGCGTGCCATGTTCTTTAAATGCTTTTTATACTTATAATAATGCACAAGAACTAATTGATTCAACATCAGCAGAACAATTTGGTCATAAAACATTTCCACAATTATTTAATGACACTCAAAGTATTGATAAAAAAGTTTTCTATTCTCTACTTTTTTTCTTTTATATAGACAATACAACAATACCACATTTTGAAATTACTGATCCATTACCAAATCCTTGGTTACGTGGTGCTCGTGTTATTAAAGCAGCTGCACATCCTGCTCAAAGACAATAACAACCTTTTAGTTCGAGAAATACTAAACAACAACAACAATCATCTGTTTTACGAAATACTGAACAGCAAAAACCATCATCTGTTTCAAGAAATATTGAAGAACAACAACAAGGTTTTGTTACGACAAATACTGAACAACAACAAGAACAATCTACTGATTCAAAAGATATTGAACAACAAGAAGCTTCTATTTCGACAAATACTGAACAACAACAAAACCAAGCAGTTGCAACAGTTCCAGCTAATACTGGTATTTGTTCAGCATCAATGCAAAATCAAGAAGCACCTGAAGCTATTAAACCAGTAGCAGAAGGTTAGAAAATTCTATTTAATTAAAATTAATTTATAATATTATACATAGGATTTCGACGATTACATACGGCACAGAATCCATTTCAAGCATCACAACAACAACATCTTCAACATCAAGTATAAAATAGAAAAAAAAATCTATTATTATTTTTTTTTCTTTCTAGACTTCTCAAACGTTAACATCAGTTAATACAAATAATGTAGAACAACACCATGATGATGATAATTGTGATGATGCTGATAATAATAATAATAATGATTCTGAGGGTCAAGAATGAATAACATAAATTAAATCAAAATTTTCCTCTGATTATTATTCTCTTTTCGATCTTCCATTTTTTTTTGTATTTGTTTGTGCTGTGACGCATTTAATGTATATCAAAAAGGAAAACGAAGAAGCAAATACTTAGCTTGCATGTATTGTCCAATTTTCTCAGTTCATGACATATAAATTTTCTTTCTTTTTTTTCTCTTGTCTCCTTTTTATAAGATAATGTCAGACATATATACACATTGTTCATATATTTTTCTTTTGTTTATCATATATGAGTAAAAGTTTTATTGAATGATGGATAACCATCGGCTTAATCTTCTATCTCAGGTTGATTGCCATATCTTTAGATTTATAATGATAACTACTAAGATTAATTCAAATAAACTAACAAGAACAACTACAAATTCCTATTGAATTAAAATTGGTTTATTTATATAAATGAAATCACATAATACTATCATTTCATGTATAATACAAAAATAAATATGATATTTACCAAATGAAAGCTTTAGTTAATTAAGAACCAAAGCTTTTAAAAAGTCATCAACACATTCAATTATGCAAAACGTACCAATGAAAGTTCAGTTACCAATTAAATACGTGATATTACATTTATAATTAATTTTCATAGAAATATTCGTTCATTTATTCTTACACTTTATTATTCATTAAATTTTTAATCAATTTATTGTATTGAATCATCGACTATTGAATGCTTTATCTAAAGAATAAATAACATATTTCATATTTAATAGAGATCATAATGCTATTCTGAATATTAAAATATATTCTATTTGTGGTGATGAACTACACAAGTTTATAAACATAAGCTGTAAACAAATTTTTCTTTTTTGCATAGCGAAATTTGTCAGTGCCTCATATTTTTCATTGACTAACAATGGTTATAAATGTGTATCTATATATAATAAAATAAATAAATAAATTTGTTTATATATTACTATCTTCTTTGAAAATATAGATTGATAAATAATTGTTCGTTCAATGACAAACCTATTAAGAACATGTGTTCATACATTATGGAAATTAGTCCAATTAATTTTATTTATTGTTATCGCACCACCATTGATTAATTATGCATCATTGAAACGTGAAGCACCTTTACTTGGACAACATGGTAATTAAACAATATTCAAAATTTTTTTTTTCAAAATTGTTTTAGGTTTACCATATGATATTGGATATGGTCAAAAATTATTTTTATGTTGTCGAGGACATGGTGTACCAACAGGCATAATGATGATATTAGAAATTACGAGATGAAATTTGTAATTTGTTTTGTTTTTACAGTTGTTTTTGATGGTCCAACTTGGTATGAATTCGGATATTTGGCTTCCACTTCAAGAAAATCTTCAAAAGATAACAACAGTAAATAGAATTATTATTATTATTATTTTTTTCGTAAAATAATTTATCTTTAGGTATGCATTTATGATCGAGCCGGATTAGCAATGAGTAATGCACCATTAAGTTCGACAATTAAACAAAGTAAAATTATATTAAGAATAGAATAACGAATGATTATGATTGTTTTTTGTTTCCTTCTATGTAGAATTAGATGACAAGGAACAGACAACAGTTAAGCATCGTGGAATGGATTTTACTGTCGAAAGGTAAATGATTTATTTTCTTTGTGACGTTTATTCAAATTTTGTTTTTTATTAGAATGTCTGAAGATCTCAATCGTCTGATAAGTGCAGCAAGTCAACAACCTAAGCCATTTATTTTAGTTGGTGCTGATTTAGGTACTATTGTAGCTCGTTTTTATGCTCAAATGTATGAGTTGTAAGTGAAGTTTTTTCAGTTCGATAGAATTTTTATATCTCACAATGAAAAGAACATGTTCATTGTAACATATCACAATGTATGTCAATAAAATTCTTTTGTTTTTCTATTTGTAGTGATGTAAGTCATTTGTTTTTAATTGATCCATTGGTTGAAACATTATTTGATAATGAACAATGGAAGATTATTGGTAGGTTACTTTAATAGATTTTTTTCCTACACAAATATCATATCTTCAAGTATAATAAAATCATACCTCGTCTTCATGCTATGCAACTTTCAGCAGCTATTGGTATTAATCGAATTCTTGTATTAACACGTATGATTGATCCACCATTAATGATACAAACATCTGCTGATTCAGATGATGATAAAATAAATATTAATCAGAGACAGGTTATTGATTTTATGCAATAATATAATTTCCTTATAATTAATTTTAGAAACATTTACTTTGTAATGCAGCACATAATAGTTCAGTTATTCGAGAACATTTTTATATGAATGAAACATTTTCACAAATGAAGTAAAACAAAAATAAAATCAATATTAATATAAAAAAAGTGATATTTACATTTTTTTTAAAATAGACTAGCTTGGCGAATGAAAGCTTTTCCTTCAAATGTATCTGTAACCATTCTTAATCGTCGTCATTGTGATAAAAATCTTTCTAAAGATTTAAATGAAGTATTTTCTTTTCTATTAATTTCTTAATTTAATTCGTTTATTTTAATTAAGGCATGGGATCAACCACAAGAATATCGTCGTATACAATTATTTCGTAATCAAATTCAACATCGAATAATTGATTCAACTAGATAAATATTTTATGTTTTACAAAGTTGATTTATTAGAATCACTAATTAAAGATTCGATAAACAAATGGCGAGAACAAAAAGGACTTGCATGATTGATTTATTTTAATAATTGTTACTTGTTTTGTTTTTTTTTCATATATTATTATTATTATTATTATTATATAGATAATTTTCCATCATTATCTATTCATAAACATTTTTAACTATATTTATTAGTTGCATTAAGTATTGATATTGAGCAAGAAATAAAAACTGTTGCAATTGATGATACTTGTAAACAATTAGTTATAGATTCAACTCAAGTGTTTGATTTAACTTAGAAAATAGTATTAGCTGCAAATAAGAAAGAATGTTGAATTACAAACCTGAATAGAGATGAATGTTTGATTAGTATAGATCGATTAATTGAATGAAATGAACTGGTTTAGTTTATTGAATGTTGTAGAAATAGACGTAAACTTTGAACGAATGATTAAAGAAGGGTGATATTGATGAACAAGACGTGTCAATGTGATTTTATCGGTGATGGACAAAGAGAATAGTGACATTTAAATGAGGTAAGATCATTCGATGTCTGTTTTGTTGTATCAAGTGTATCAATCCAATATGATGAATTTACATGAGCAAAAAAATATGTTACTGGTGATGAATCAAATGATGTAAATGATAGAAGTGAACGAAGAGTTGATATTGAATAGGAATTCGAATTTTGATCATCAGTGGAAGATTTTAATTGAGTAGGATTTATAGAAGATGTACTTGGTCTTTCATCAGATTGCATATGTGTAAAATAAGAAGGAAATAGATTACGAATATTGAACTATAAAAAAAACAAAAGAGCAACGGTTAGGATTTTTTTATTTTATTATTCATGGTTATTCTCGGATACAAGTTAACTTATTTATTAGTTTTTCGTGTAGTATTATATGGATGTTTAGTGTTTCGGATTATTCTTCTTTTTGAATCTGTAGATTTTTCGATAGTTTATAATTTTCTTATCATAAATCAGGAATCAATCTAGCGAAGAAAGTCTTCCAATTGATTAATCACTCAGGAGTCCTGACTAGACCCTGTCGGTTTGATCCCGAACTCGGACTCGGTCGGATTTTAGTTCGAAAATTTTAGAGCGACGAGCTCTATTCGAGACTATGTGCATCATGTAGATCACAGTAAGTTTAGAATATGCTGGAAAGAGTACGGATTCTCGGCTTATTGATGCGTAGCTTCTACAATTTTACGGTAAGTTTTTTGTATGGATACTGTGGTTGCTCTCGGCAACCTCCGGAGAGCTAATTTCCGAATTTCGGCTTGGAACTTTGTTGAGAGAGAGTCGGATTTTCGATTAGGGAACTTTCTCTCCTCTCTCAAAAATGTTCTACCTTCTCCTAAAGTTCTTAATACTTTCTGCCAATTTTTTACAACTTCATGAGAACTTTGGACAGAAACTAGATCTTGAGATAACATCTGCCTTTCTCTGGGAGAAAGTGGAACAAAGATACGCAGGCAATGTCGTTGCAAGGTGAACAGGATTGAGACAGGCCTTGGGAAAGAGACGGGTTGATGGCAGATTGTCTGTTGTAGGAGGAGCCGCGTCATCATGGGTTTCGTTCTTGCTTCCACGGTCACCACTTCTAGTACTCCCAGCATGAAAGTACTTTTCGAGAAAATTTTCGGACTTTCTACAAAATCCCTAGCCAATACTCTCCCCCTAAATAATATCGACAACCTTGAGAGAAGCCTTAACAAGACTAGTTTTCATTGTGAAAGTTTCAGATCTTTTGATTTGCTTCTATCTTGAAATAAGAACATAGAATCTGCCGCTATATATGAGCGATATGAAAGGGATACTTTTACCATAGCTATATCTTAAGACAGGAGCACAACAACAAAAACTAAAGTACTCACAAGAAACTGTTCAGTTTGAGAACTGTTGCGGTGGAAACGTTTTAAGTCGAAATTCTAAAATAAGCTTTCCTGGAGAAGATGACAGCATTCATTTAAAAATTACTGTAAAAGTAGAATATGTCGGTGGTGAAAAGTTAAGGACCTAAATTGTTTTCAGGATGTACATAGATCATATGGTTCTATATAATACACGTAGTCTCAACTCAAAAACGAATTAGAGTTGAAGGATTTTCCTAGGAAGTAGAAAAGAATGAAGCTATGATCTCCATGGATCACACAACTAGAGGTTTGCAGGAAACTTTCTAATCACCAGTTGTAGAATTGAATATTTACTGAGAAAAGAAAGATTCAGTTATAACATTTTCAAAAGAAATTTTTTCTCTATAAATTAAGATGTTATTCGTATCGAGGTTACAGCATGATAACAACACAACTAGGACTGATCATGGTCGCGAAGTTTGTGTTCGTTTACCCGGATTAGAAAAACCGCACGTGAGTTGCCATTACCTCGTTGCTTTAAATGAAAAAGATTTCTTCAGAGAATGTAGTGATTGAAAGTTCTTTTATTTTGTCTTTTCCTAAAATATCTCTGATTCTTCAACCGAAGTAAAAATTCCCATGCAAATCTCTAAACTTGTTCTATAAAAAAATCAATACTAAATAACGTTTTTCATGTAAACAAAAGCAACAGATTGGAATTAAATTATTCAAGAAATAAATTTCTACAAACCTTTTTAACACCATCATCAACAATCCAGGCATAAATTGTCTCTCTACCTCTAATATGAAGACATTTTTTCAACATTTTCAATTAATTGTCTATCTGCTAGAATACCAATATAATTATCTTATTGATTATTATCTAAAGATATTCTACGATAAACATCATAAAGTATTAAATGTCCAGATTTAAAACAAATTAAAAAACATTTTCGTTTTAATATCTTATTTGAATATTGTTCTTTATTTTGATATTCATCATTAAGATCATATTATTATCATCACATTTAATTTCTAAATTTTCATCTTTATCACTTATTATTGATTGCTGATCATTATTTATTAAACCATCATCTAATATAATTGGATTTATTGAATCAATATCAATATCATTTATTAATGATTGATATATACAATGATAAAAAAGTATTTTTAATGGTAATGTTATTTGATCATATTCAATAGAATAACTATGTATACAATCCGTTGTATTTATTAATAAAATCATTTTTGTTTTAGTTAATTGATATAAAAAAGCTTGTTTAGATATATATTTAAAATTTGAAAATTCAATTAAATAATCATATTTATTATTTATTTTAATTTGTTCATTTATTGTTGTTGTTGTTGTTTCAATTGATTGATCATTTTGTATATTATTTGTTATTGTTGATGTATGTGATGGATTTTTTTCATATTGATTTATTGTTGTTGTTGTTATTAATATAGATTTATTTGTTTCATTTAATTGTAAAAAACAAAAAATAATATAATTTTCATTATCATTTGTTATTGTTAATGGATACATTGTTAATGCAAGTGGATTAAATTTTAAATTAAAATAACGTTTTGATGTTAAATGATCAAAATCTTCTATAAATATTGTTTTGTTATTATATATCTAAAGAATAATTATCTTCAGAATTATTTTCTGTTGTTAATTGTTCAAAAAGATTTTGTTAATGATATTATTGTTTTTATATGTATAAAATTTGTTCTATAAACTGAAGGTATTATCCAATCAGACATTTATAAATAATAATATATGTTAATTTAATATTTTCTTTCCAGGTTAAATTGAACATGTTGTAGCTAACGGAACATATTTAAGTAAAATGAGTTTTTATAAATGGAGAATGAGGATAATGAGATCCATGTTCTGTCCAAGGAGAATCAGATGGTTTCCAACAAACAACTGTTAGAGTAGAAGCAAAACATAATGCACAATGATCATTATATTTTAATGGCGAATAATAAAAATCAGGTTTATCCATAGTTTCCTTTTTTTTAAATAGAAATAAAAAGTTGATTGATTTAAAATATAATAATAATCAATGAAATTATTTATGTTGAATAGTATGAATTAATATGAGTTTTTCTCTGTAAGGGCCCTCCCCCCTCAAAAAATGTCAAATTTCGTCAAAAAAACGAAGTTGGAGATAAACTCATAGCTGAATACTATGTGATGTGAACATTAAGAATCAGGTGATTTTGAGGTTTGGTCCTTCGAAAAAATGGACTTTCGCAACATTTTTTCGGAATACCTGGCATTTCAAAACTTTGTTTCGCGTTTTTCTCAGAATGTAGGTTTGACAACGTATTTGCAAGAAAACCCGACCATAGTACTATATAAAGTCAAATATTTTTTGTTTATTTGAAAGAGCGTCAAAAACTGCAGGTCCTGTGAGGCTCGGTTTTCTGAATGAAGCTTTGTTATTATTATATTGAAAAGCATTTTTATAATCAGAGCGCCATTTTTTGAGAGTTTTTCGAGTGAATGAACTTGTCAACCCTTTTCTCTGCTTGATAGATAAGAGTTTTAAAAAAAGGAGCCTCACAGGACCTGCATCTTGAGATGCTCTTTCAAACAAAAAAAATATCTATATATTGGATGAAGGCCTACAGAGAAATCTTGCGGACAAAATGAGCAATTTTTGACCCTTGTTTTGGTTCATAGATCTGTCAAGCGTCAGNTGTTTCCTTCTTTGACCCCGTCTTCATTACAAAAAAATAATACAACATTAAATTCCTATTCAACCGATTTACGTCTACGTTCGAAAGCCAATGCATCAATCAGAATCACTGCTATCAAGACGAAGTGTCGCTTTATTTAATACAATAATAGGGAAGTCACCAATGGAAAACTACCTTGTTTTAATTGGTGACTCGAGTAGAACTTTCGTTGTTGCATTAGCTTAAATATGCTTTCGAAAGATGTATTAAAGTTAATACAGCTTTGGTAAGGGTGTGGGTGTGGGTGTGGGTATATCACAAATCACATCCACACCCACACCCACACCCTGCTTGCAATTCATTATAAAATATCCTAAAAAGTCGACGATTCTTCTTTGTATTTGAGATAACAACAATTCAAAAAAAAAATTTTCCTAACTGAATTCTCAGTTCTATGGAAAACATTTATCTTCATATGTGCACTTGTTAGATTTCTCAGAATTCCTAACCCACTTTCTCTTTTCTCGCATACGGTCACATTCCGTAGAGCTCTTCAAGCTCTATCGAATGGTATATTAACGAAAGTGTTTTAAATGAACAATAAGAGAACACGATTCGTCAAGACAGGGATGAGCATCGCTTTTATCGATTATAGACCGTTTAAAGCAACAAGTGGTCTCTGGAAAAGTTACGTTTGTCTGTGATACTTTTAGTACGCTTATGGGAGCATGTGCAATTTAAAGTCCTCTTTCTCGTAATATGGATAGGAGGTCAAAAATCTATTCGATGATGGCACTTACAGTCATTTTGTTATCCTTTGGCAAAACCTGGATGGAAGACTATTGATAAGAGTTGTTTAGTGACCTATTCCGCTGAAGGACTCAATCTATTTCACTTCGAATTGTTTTTAAACGATTGGGCGCATTTTTTACCTAGGTCTGACTACTTTTTAACTGAAATTTCAGAGTGGGCCGATTTGGCTTGTTATGCGCTCCCGTCCTTTTGTATGATCGACTTCTTCAATGAGATTCGATAATAATTTAAAAATATTCTTCAAAATTGAGATTATTTTTAATAAATCAGATTGAAAAAGAATAGGTTTTTTAAAATAATTTCCATTTTCCTTATTGAGAATTCAGTTTCTGTTTAAGTGACGATTGTTGAAAAAGAAAATTCTTCATTTAATTTCGATCAATATTTTCAAATAGCGATTTAACCGGATTTAACCATGAAATAAAACATTTTAATCTTATTTTCTTTTATATATAGAATGATCATCGTTTTTTTAATATGTAAAACACCTGATCTAACTTAAAGTCATGATTATTTATTCAATAATGTTTTTTTTTGTATTTGTATTTTATGTAAAAATAGTTAAATTGGAACACATTACTTTCCGATGACATGAAACAAAAAAAGTGACGCGAATTAAAAAGATTTAATAATACAGGGTGTAGCTCTGAATATTGATTATGCTCTTTCACCATATCCTTTTATCCTGTACAATAATGAGTACCTTTATCAATTACAGATGAAAAAACTTCCTAGTAATCAAAGAATGGTAGTTTTACATCTAAATCTATATTGATAGATGAGCTTGCCACTAAAATAATTTCTGTAAGTGTCATATAAATAATTGCGCTGTTCGTACTTTAAAATCTGTTCTTTATTTTCTGCATCAATTCCCCAGAAAATGGTACGGTTTATTCAATAATTTCAGTTTTCTCCATTTCTTTTCGACGTCAAACATGATCATACAGTAAAATCAAGTGCAGAATATAGAACATTTCTTTCTTAGCCTTTTCACGGTATACTTCATTTGATCTTTTAACGCTTTTTTATTATAAAATGATTTTTGTTCGCAGATCTATGTAGCTAATTCCATGATTTATAATTGACAGTATTTAATTAGACGAATGAGTTGATCAATGTTCCTTCGATTCGAATGCAGAAAAATGGTCATCACATTTATCTACCAGCAGTTTTTTTACTCGCTCAGTATTTGTTTATCATTATCATTTAATACAGATATTCCTGGTGCTGAATTTTCGGTAGAATATGAAATATTGATCAAAATGCAGTATTCAGCTGATGCACTACAATGTAACACAGTGAGAATTTCATATTAAGGACAATCAATGAATTTTCATCAGCAAAACATGCTTATTTGTTTTCATATACACAAATTTACATCAGAAATATCAAGAGATGGTAATAGAATCGATTACGATTATAGAATTCAATGAAAAAATAAAATAAAGAGATGAAGATTTTATTTTCTATAATATTGAAAATTTGAATTTTCGAGCTACAAGATAACATCGATCATACATTTTATCATTAAGATTAGCTAAACGTTCTGGATTATAATCTAAATATATGAGTTCATTAAAATTTTCAAATTGTTGTTGTTTAAAACAATTTAGTGAATAAACATTTGATGCTTCTGCATATGCACCACCAAGTTTTAATTCTTTACCGTATTCAATACTTTTTGATATAAGACGTGATCCAAGTCCATGACCACGAACAGTTTTATCAACATTAAGTATAAATATATGCAGAAGAGTATCTACATTTAATTGATCAAAAATATTAAGGTCTTTCTGCATATTCATAAAAAGTTCCAATATAAAACGAATTTTTTCATTAGATTCATTGATTTCCTCTTTATTATTTTTATATATGATTTCATTAAGACAAATAGCAACAATTTGATTTGTTTCTGTATCATATGCAACACATGAACATTTATCGTGTAAACAATTATGAATAACATTTTTTGAAAATTCTAATACTTCAGTTACTTGAAGACATTGTACTATAGGTTCATCATGAAAAAATGAATTAGTTAATAAAGATAATACTTGATCATAATCATTTTCATGCATTAAACGAATACCGAATTTCGATGATAAGGGCATTTTACTAAGTAAAAAGAATACGTTTTGTTTTTACTTGTATTTTATCAAGGCAATATTTATATGAAGAAAGAAAGACAAAGAATTTTTTTCTTCAAATATCCTTTTTCTTATCATCAACTATCTCATATAACCCTTTTCTTGTTTGTTGCCATGTGATTCATAACTACATAGTTTTGTTTTTGTTTGTGCCACAGTATTCTTTTCTCGCGCTTGATGATGCAAATATAATGTAGCCGAAAACGATATAATCTAGAAGATTATATTTGCATCATCAAGCGCGAGAAAAGAATACTGT